TATTTTGTCCAACCTATATATTGAGGTGCCCCACTTTTTACGGATGAGAGATTGAATATCATATTATTTAGAGAGAATACATGCTTTACAAGAATCAAAGTTCAATCCTTCCATTATTCATGTGCCAATCATTGTGAAAAGATCAAAGAGCTAAATCAAACACTGGACTGCATTCTTCGCTTAGGTCTGCTGCAAGATTGTGTCGTCAACTGTGCTGCATTAAAGATTAGGAAGAATCTGAAGAACGATGAGTTCTTTGGGAAGATTTACAGGAGATAAATTGCGTAAAGAGTTGGGATTGGAGTTCGTGTGCTCATTCTAAGAGGATTGCTTTACAAAGAAGAGCCGGGTTTGGCGTTCGCGTGCATATTCCAGAAGGGCTGCTTCTTACTTCAGACAAGAGATCAGAAAGCTTGTGTTGTCAATTTTGCTGGTGGTCTGTAAGTGTATTATTAGTTTATAATGGATCTTTGACTGGCAAAGTGCTCGGAGCTTTTCCCACGTTTGGTTTCTCCGTGAACAATTCTGGTGTTGTTTACTGTTTTATTTATTATTTTGATATAACTGCGGTATTCAAACATATTCTAAATTGGATTGTTTGACTAATCACCTAGATACAATTAACTTGTGATATGTTGCTAGTTAATTGGATTGATAATTCCGTATTTACACATAATCACCCTCCTCTAGGTGTAGTTGTGTCATGGATTGTTTGACTAATCACCTAGATATAATTAACTTGTGATATGTTGCTAGTTAATTGGATTGATAATTCCGTATTTACACATAATCACCCTCCTCTAGGTGTAGTTGTGTCGAATATCGCGTTTCTCAGTTTTTTCTAAATCACCCTCCTCTAGGAATTTTTCTAAATTGTTTAAAGTATTTTAGTTTGAAAATAATCTAAAATCCTTTCAAATTGAACAATGTTTATCCCTACGAGAAATCTCTCATATCACGCTCGCAATGGCAAAATCGAGAAGGAGAAATACCCCCTAAAATTTGTAGGGGATTTCTCCCTCTTGATTCGTCAGTTGGGTCAGCCTTGACCAAAGGCCATCTAGGCCATTGTCTAAGGCCTCAAATTTCTGGGAGTCTTATAAGAAAAATCAGGCCCACATCCGTTCACAATCCACCACAAGGCCTAAAGAGAAGCCCATCGATTTTAGCTAGAAAAAGAGGAATAGAAGTGTTGATTTATTGAGCTAATCTCTCTAGTTCCACCGGACCACCACTGCCACGGGAAAATTCCAAGAAGGAAGAGGCTGCATCGCCATTGCCAAACTCGTTGATACTACACACACAATCCAAAATAATGTGCGGTGGACATTTTATATTTCACCAACGTATAATACTAACCGCAAGTGCTCTTATTTAAGCTGTTTCATTACATGCAATTATATAAAATGCCCATGCCACATTATTCTCCTTTTACATCTTTTTATTGGAAATAATGTTATGTAGTTCTGATGGGGTTGGAACCACAGTTTAAAGGGCATTAGATGATATGTTAAATAAAATAGGAAATTAAATTAATCATTTAATTCTACTTATCATTTAATGCAACATCAAAGCTACTGAGATTGCAATCTCAGTGGATCTAAATAGCATTACTCTTCTATTAGTAACAAAAAATAATGTTATAATTGAAGACGAGTTGAAATTTAAAGTTGGGCTCGAGCATAATAGCAAGTTTGGTTGCATTTGAAATTATAAAAGTAAGCGGAGACTTATTTCAAGAAGTAAGCTTTTCTCGACTAAGATTCTCAACTAGGGGTGTTAGCTTATAAAAGAATTGAATGATTAACAAAAATGTTACCTAAAATTATTTTTTTTAATGTGGGCCATGCCGCATGTTCGGCCCAAGCCAATGGTTTATAAACCTTGGACCCCACACAAAATAAAAAAATAAAGAGCAAATCTCCACGCTTACAGTAGCCAATTAAGGCAATACAAAAATCCTTGACCGAAAACAAATAGGCATCTTCATTTCTTCTCCTTTTCCCTGTGAGATTGGAACATGTTACAATTGTAGAGTGTATCAAGGACTCAAACTCAGTACTATATATTACTACCATTATGCATTGCAATTTTATATCTGCTCTAATCGCTCTGTCTCTCTTCTTCTTCGTCGTCTTCCTTAATGATGCCTGATATTTTGTACCCTTTACTGGAAGTTTTTGCCTCAATTGTGATGTTTATCGTGATTCAAGGTCTACAAAAATGCTGTGATAGGTATGCAGAATTGGCACAATTTGAGCTGCCAGTCGTAAACCGTCAACCACCAGCAGCTCCACAGCGCGCACCACTAGTTGTAAACCGTCCACCGCCACCACCATCATCATCATCACCAACTTCAACTCGACCCCAGATGAAGGGAGGGAAGAAGGATGAAGTAGTCATCGATATTTATATCGAACAGGAAGATGGGGATCGTGAATGCTCTATCTGTCTATCTGAATTCAAAGACCAGGAATTGTTCCGGCTTCTTCCGTCATGCAACCATGGATTTCATTTTCATTGCATCAAAATATGGTTGCAAATCAGTCGAACCTATCCATTGTGCCGCCGGAGTACTGTCATTGAACAATAATTCTTGTTTTTCTTATATTACAAGTCTTCAACTTTTTCTTACGATTCTGATTCTACAAAGACAATTTTTGTACATGAATAGAATGTTAAGTTTCCGAAAGTTATTGAGAATGATAGATACTTCACTGAACGAAGTTGACAAGAAATTAAGTGTCCGACGTCGAAGTGTACTTAATGTTGAAGACACCGGGGGGGGGGGGTGTGTTTATTTTCTTGAGGGGGGGGGGGGGGGGTTGTTTATTTTATTGTGTTATCTTTTAATTTTGTGATTAATGAATCATGTCATCTTGGGTTTTTCTTTTTCTGTGATTATAGAAAAAAAGCTTGGTTTGGTAGAAAATAGTTTATAAATTCAGTTCAAATTAAGCATTAATTTCAATTACACATCCATAACTACTACTTATTATTATTCACACATTTCGTGAGATTAGGTACTATTCATCTGACTATTTTCCTTCATAAACTATTTATGAATTTTTAAATTGGAGACTGACTGAAAATACAATAAGCAATCGATATATATATTTAGAAGTTAGTATTTTTTTTATAAATAATTTAAATATAAGTTGGTATTTATAGTTATATTTCCATTTTGTAGTAAAGTGTGAATTCTTTTTTAATAATAGGACATATATGAATTTTTCCGTCACCAATATACCTCCAAATCTACCCCATTAATAGGCTCGTATACTTGAGACTTAACAACGTCATAGCCCACGAATAGCTTAAAATCATTATTTTAAAATTTAGGGAATATGTAATTGGAAAATATAACTTCAAAATTAAGAAATTAATTTTATTATTTCAAAAATCAGGTCTTAGATCAATTTTATTTAATAATTAATTAATTAAAAAATATTTTATAAATTAAATATATTAATATCACAATATTCTATAATTTATGGTCACATTTATTTATTAGTCACAATAACAAACATTACAGTTATAAATAACAAATTTTATAAATTACAATTTATTTTTTGATCATAAATTATTAAATTAATTAGTCATGTAGCATTTTTTTGTCACAACTCACAAATTCTATAGGTTGCAATTTATTTATATGGTAAAAAATAATCAAATTAATAGGCAACGTATTATTTTTCGATCACAAATCATAACAACTTATTTTATGGTCACAAATTATCAAATTAATTGGTCATAAGTTATTTCTCAATCAGAAATTATTAAATTAACTTAACAAATTATGAGTCACAATTATAAATTTAATTGGAATCTCACATGTTTTTGGTCATATATTATTTATTTGTTATCTATTTCATCGGTCACACGTCACACGTTAACCAACTTATTAGTCACAATCAACCAACTAATGAGTCACGACCACTCTTCCTATCCCACTCCCACTCCCACCTCCACCACCGTTCCCCACCATTTGTGAGCACCACCACCATCAGCACCGCCACCACAACCAACTCCACCACTACTAACTGCAAACACCAACAGCAAAATCTACCCCAAAATCAATGTCGTAGCTAGGGCCATTGCCAGAGCCATTCCCTTCTCCACCTCTACTACCCCTTCTACCACCATTCTCGTATCCAGAGCCATTGCGATTGCCACACCTAAAACCACTACTGGACCAAGTGATTCCAACACCTAACCCATATCTCGAACCATAGCCCGAAACTAGATAAAAAAAACAAAGTCACAGCCAACATTATCACCACCACCACGACCACGAATAAAATCACTTCACAACCACCTAAAACCAAATCCAAAATCAAAGCCTCATTGTCGCTTTACAGCGATCGTTGCATGCAGTGTGAGCGATCGCTGTGCGACATCATCGTAGCGACCAATGATTAGCTTCGTGCGCAGTGAAGAACTGTATCGCGTAGAGTTGTGCGCAAAGCGTCGCACTCTACTACGTTGGCCTATGCACTGAGGTACAACGACGCCACTACGTACGGTGCTCATAACTCAACGGCGTATTTTGATGGCGTCTTCCAACGACATTTTTCCATGTGTGAGGAAGAAAATAGAGAGAGAAGAGAGAATGAACGCTGTTCATAATTGCTCAGGCATCAAAACATAAGGGCCCTACATCCCCAAAAATAATTTCATAATTCCATTTTTATCTTATTCTACCCAATTTGCTTAACTAATATTTTAAAAGCCTAGGTTTCCTTGAGATTCTATAGACTAACGTGCATGTAGCGGCCTCGAGTGTCATCCTATTCTTGGGAGATAATATTTAGATTTTGTTTGTAGTTTAATGTTTTGTATCCTTAAATTCTAATTGTGCTCGTTGTGCTAGTTTAGAACAGAAGTTCAATATAAACAAAGTAACATCGTGTTTCGTGTGGGAATCGAGCATCGCTAACAATTAAAAGAATGTTCAGACGATTGTGTAAGGAATAACAACCTCTCGATACAAAGTCCCAACGAGGGATGTTTTAGTTATGAAGATTACAATTGGTAAGAAACGAAATGCCTCCAAGGGACGCAAGCACACTGAATACGCAAAGTAATTGAAAGTTAAAAGGAAATGAAATGAGATTACATAATTCTCTGTTTAAGAGTCGTTTGATCGGGCCTTCCTTCTTCTAAATTCTTCTTTCTCTTTTATACTCCTTTGGCGGTTTTCTTTGTAGAATCGTTTGAAAACTGTCTCTCGCTCTGTAACTGTCCACTTTCTCCATCGTGGATGACTTGTCAAGAAACTACCATTTTCAACCGATATCATTACTCCCATCACTTAACTTCTTACAACCAAGATTCTAAGATCGTGGAATATGATAAGATCACCCATTAACTGTTTTAGTAACCGTTGCTTTGAACAATAGGCAAAACGCTACATTCGCCCAGATCTTAGGCATCACACATGCTTGAGTGATGACATGCTCGCCTAGATCTTGGGCGTTTGGGCGTCTCGTAGGCTTGAGCGATGATGAGCCTCCATAACATAACTCCATCTTGGGCTTTTACATGATCTCGTTTGGGTCCAGCCTTCGAATTTCGTAACTGAGCTTTATTCTTTGGACCATTTAGTTGGGTCTCATTTTTGTATGTCAAAAATTACCCCCCAATATGGTAAAATTAATATCAATTATTAATCTTATACCATATTCTTCCTTTGTATTTTCCGGCAGTACTTGAAATCCCAAAAAGTGAGGAGAATCCCAATCGTTATTTTCGTTTGGCGGTAACCATCTACATCCTGAAAAGTGTAATATCACCCAACTCCTATAAACCAAAGGACACGTCACTTCATCGTGCCATTATACCCACGTCATGCATCATACGCTTCTCTTACCACTGTTCATCTTCTTGCTTCTCTGCTATGCTTCTCAAAAACCTCCACCAAGATTGTATTTTGTAGCAAATGGCGACTTCACGTAGCCCTTTCGACAACTCCCTTAGTTTCGAAGACTTCCAAAACCTCCTCACTAAGCCGTATATAAATCCAACTTCCCTTTCACCAGCCAACCCTGACCTCAATGAATTCTACATAGGCCCGTCATTTAATGATGCTGAATCTGTTGGGCAAATGGCGGTGGGCCAGCTATTCCCTTGTACTCAAGATCCTCCTTTTCTGAGCTCTACACCGTTAAAGTCAATCTGCCCAAAACTGATACTACTTTTCATGTGGGATGCACGGATGGTAAATCATGGCCCTACTAAGGCAAATTTTGATCGTGCTAGGATTTCGAATTTATTAGAAATCGTTCTCCGTCCCCCAATCCATGATGTCGTGCTTTTCTCTATTACTTTAAGTTTTTGGTCTTTTGAGTATAATACTTTTATTTTCCCGCTTGGCTCAATGTCTATTACTCTGAGGGATGTTGGAGCCCTAGTAAACCTTCCACCCTGGGCGACACCATTTTTCCTGCCATTTTGGTTACTAGCGCTGCCCCAAAATTTGAGAAAAGATTCACTAATTCTTACTCGGGCATGCAGGAGCTTTATAATAATTCTGGTGTTGAACCTACTCATGCTGAGCGTATCGCTTTTCTCCAAGTTTGGCTTTGTAAATACATTCTTTGTGTGCCCAAAGTTAAACCTTCCATGAGTTATTTGCCCATGGAGCATGAACTAGCGCGTGGTAGACCTTTAAACCTTTGTTCAATATTCTTAGCCACCTTTTATAGAGGCGTGGCTTCCCTTCAATACCAGTTAAGGAATGGTGCATCTCCTACTGGCAGCTGGCCTCTTTGGCTCGCTAAATTGTGGTTGAGAGCATACTTTCCACAACTTGGTGCTCCATCCACTCCTCCTCGATCTGTTAGTTGTTACGGGCTGGCCATCAACAAATTGATCCCTGTTAATATGTCCAATAGGGACGTTTTTTCATTCTTTTATAACTTGAATTCAATTTCTACCTTTTTTCCTTTCCCTGCTCACTTAGTTCCAAACTGTGTATACTCCTTCTACCATGGATGATGTGAGCACCTTTTTGTCCATTTGGGCTCAATATTTGACTGGGAAAGAACCGTTCCATGATATCTTAACCGGACCAAATGCTAAGGCAGGGGTCGAGATATATGCTCCCCAATTTGTTACCCGTCAGCTTGGTTTTCGCCAGACGTGGCTGTTCTTCCATGTTTTTNCATCCTTTTTCTACCATGGACGATGTGAGCACCTTTTTGCCCATTTGGACCCAATATTTAACTGGGAAAGAATTGTTCCATGACATCCTAACCGGAATAAATGCCAAGGCTGGGGTTGAGATATATGCTCCCCAATTTTTTTCCCGTCAGCTTGATTTTGGCCAAACGTGGCCGATTCCCCTTTATTTTTCTAAAAGCTTGACAGACGTTTTTCATACTATCAATAAAACAGAGGCACATGCCATTGATGCTCGTAATACTCTTTTGACAAATGATTTTTCCTTAACCCGTTTCAACCCCACTTTTGTCATTCATCCTCTTTTTGAACAACTCCGGCCGTCTGTGAAATGTAGGTTATTTAAAACTGATGCTAACCGTGCCTTCCACCTGCTAGAACGGCCAGAGACTTTTTCCACTTCTCACATTC